TGTAATCCTCCGGACTCTGAGAAATGCTATCATCACCTCCAGTTTGCTAATGGAGAACCCAGGACTCAGAGATGGGCAGCCACCTGGCTGAGATCACACAGCTGCTGAGTGCTGGGGCTGTGAGGTGAACCCAGGTCTGCCTCAGGGTCTAAAGCTCTTTTCATCACTGAGGGAGGCAGGACCCTCACAGTGTCCCACGCAGGCAAAGGGAATGGTTTTCCCAGGGGTGCCCTTCATCTTCCCTGCAGAGAGAGGCTGATGGCAAGCCTGGCACCCGAACTGCACTGCTCTCTGGCATGGAACCCATGGGCAGTTTGGCGTGTGTTCTTGAAGACAAGGCATTCCTTGCCACACTGATGGTGATAATAGTAACAACTATAATTTCCAGGCAACAAGATGCCAGGTCCTTTGAGGCACGTTATCTGGACTCCTCATAAGAATATTTTCCCCCAGGCGGGTACATCCCTATTTTACAGAAGAGGCTCAGGTGGGTGCTAGGGCTTTGTGGTCCTTAGCCTGGCTCCAGTGGACAGGGTGGGAGGGAGCTGAGGGTCACCAATCACGTACCCTAGAGGAGATCCTCATAGCCTGCTTCCCCCCACTCGAGAAAAAACCGGCAAACAAATTAGGCTACATGAGCCCAGAGTCTGGGGAATACAGGGTGAGTCAGGAGTCAGCTGTGAATAATGCCTCCGTTCAGCAGCAGGCGACTGCAGCCTCAGGAAGGCCTTTGCTTACCCTTCCGCCTGCAGCCAAGGTGTTGGGGTTAAATGGAGAGGTGCCTTCCCAGGGGCCAGAGGGTCCCTAGGTTTGGGCTGGCAAAGGGAGCCCTTCAGCCCTCAGGTCCCCAAGGAGAGCCCTGCGGAGGCCTTCTGATAAGGCAAAGCGCCGGCTCTTCCTTCCAAGGAGACCCATTTCCAGGACAGACCCTCTACCCCAGGCTGCGGGCAGGCGAGTCTACAGCCCTGAATGAGTCTGATGGGGGCAATGCCAGCTGGGGTACCACCGGTGGAGGGGGTGCTGCTGGTAACCGGCACCCTGCAATCAGGCCTATGGGAGGCCTCACAAGCTGGGAGAAGCAGCTGCCAGAAAAGACTGGGGCCAACTTTGCTCTCCCCCGGCACCACTCCCGGGCCCTGCCGCTGCTGGTGCTCCGACGGGAGGTGAGCCTCCCAGGAAGGCCTTTCCCGGTGTAAACACTTCCAAGGAAAGGAATGTGCTGGGAAGAGCGGGGTTGGGCCACTGGAGCTGCATGCAGCCAGCTGGGGTAAATTTAAAAGGAAAAAAAAAATCACCCCGGGACTCAGGCGACTTTTTGTGAAACTCAATCAAAGCCTCGGTGACCCCTTTCTGCCGAGGTAGACGCATCCTACCTGGGCAGACGAGCCCAAGTGGACCCTTGCAGGCTCAGCGGGGCCCTGTAACTGAGGCGGAGAAGCGAGGCCGCCCGGGCAGGCCCCGCTGGCGGAAGGGCGCCGCCAGCCCCGGAGGCCGAGGTGGGCGCACGGCCCGGGCGGGAGCCCCGCGTCCTTCCGAGCACGCAGGCTCCCGCTCGCACACCGAAGAGTCTCGGGTCGCCAGACCTGGGAGCTGTCTTACAAGCGATTAGACTCCATTTTGTGACAGATTTTTGGACTCTCCCCGCCGACCCTCCCCCCTTCCGGAGCCTCCTCCAGGAGGAATTCGCCACCTCCTCAGGATAGAAACCTTTTCCAGAAGAGCGACAGACGGCAAGAAAAGAGTTACATAATTCTATTTGGCCAAGCTGCCAAGAAAAAAAATTGGGGGGGGGGAGGGGGTGTAGTGTTGTCATTTTTTCATGTGTTCTTCGGTGGAGGAAGGAGAAGGGTGTTCGTGATTTTGCGTTTGGAGGCCGCGTCTCCTCCTCCCGGTTTGTAACCGGGTTTCCTGACCGAGGAGCTCGGGCTGCGGAGGGGCCAGAGCCTCGGGCACGGGAGAACGATCCGATGTTTTTGGTTTTTTCCTTAGAAGGAGCGCCCTCCGCCCCCCCCCCCAGAAAAATCCACGTAGGAGAAAAAGGAGATTTTCCGAGCTTTTCGTGAAAATGCCAAATGCCGGCCCGTGCTCTCAGCTCGTGCAGGGCGTGCCGGTGGATTTGATCAAATGCTATTAAATGCGCCTGAATGTCAATTAATTACCCCCGTGGTGCGTACAATAATGCTTTGCTTCTGGGTGTCCGGGATCTTTGAAAACAAATAGAGTTAGGGAAGAGACGCTTAATGAAAATAGGAACCTCTTTCTATGAACCAGCCCCGCCGCTCTTGGCCGGGAAGGCACGTTTTTCAAAAGTTACGGTGGTGGTGGAGGGGGTTTGTTAATTTCCCAGTACGACTGACGCCCAGACAAGACAACATCGAGAAGGCACGTTTCTGTGCCCACTTGCCTGGATTCTCGTCTGAAAGCATTTACACACAGATGCAATAAATATGCCTCTGCGATCCTCAAAGAAAAAAAAATAAATCGTGAAATATATTTTTATTGTGCAAAGAACATCGCTTCCCATTGAGCCCCTACTTGCCTGGCTGCACTGGCTTTCCCTGAGAAACACTGATGCGAGACCCGCCTGGGTATTTGTCCCCAGGATTGTCTTGATAACTCCTCCTCAGCCCCCAACCAGTCTGCCTAGCGCAGATACCTAATTGGCGTTACTGGAAGAAAGAGGGGGTGAGGGAGGAGGGGGACGCCGTGAGGGGCGTGAATAATGCCCGCCTGAACGCTGCCGCCCTGCGGGACCCAGACTAGGGACCCGAGACCTGAGATTCGCCCAGACCCAAAATTCACTTGCAAACACACCCCTGCCGCACTGAAGAAGAAAGCTCTTAGGCGCTTTTTTTTTCTTTTCTAAACAAATATACTTTTGACAAAGCAGTCACAAATGTTTAATTGTTTTGTAAAATGAGGGGGTTGGCCGCTCAGCTCTAAGGGGGACATCCAGCTCACATTTTGTGACTTTACAGTTCTGTGCTCTGAAGAACCAGGGGTATCCTCTCCTTGTTTTAAAAAGAAGCTCCCTAAACGATTGGGGGTGGGGAGAACTGGCAGATTTGTACAAGAGGTTGAAAAGAGTCTTTCCAATATGTAAAAAAATTTTCAAAAACCTGCACAAATGACCCAGAGGCCCATTTCCAGTTTCCTGGGCCTCCTGTCCCCATGTGTTGAGTTGTCCCGGCCGCTGGCTGAGCTGAGTGGGAAGTGGCATTGCTAGAGCCCAGCTCAGCCGGGCAGGCAGAGTAAGTGAGGGCTGTAGTACAGCAGGACATGGCTGGGCTGGAGGCTGGTGAGCCCCGCCGAGGGGCTGGCTCCCTGAGCTCTCCCAAAGCCCCTGACCACATTTACCCCAAACTCCTTTCCCCATTTTATTTGTGCTGCCCTATGCCTGTCTGTGGTGGAGTAGGCTGGCGGCCTTGCCTTCTCCTGGAACTGGAATCCCATCAGCCCAGGGCACAGTGCAAACCCGATCAACAGCAGTGTGTCCAATTGGGGATGGGGGTGCTCCAGACAGAGGGGAGACCTCGGATGGGCTCTGGGACCAGCAAAAGAGCTGACTCTCTGAACCGGGCGTCAGTTCTTACTCGCAGAGACCCCAGGCAGCAGGAAGAGAACAGGAAAAGCACAGCCTGGGTAGGCCCTAGTGTGGAGCTAAGCCAGAGTCTTTTAGAGTAGAACCTGATGCCCTCGCGAGGGCTCTGGCCTGCAGTCCCACTCTTTTCAGGCCTCAGCCAAGCAGTTGCAGAGGCAGGGAAGGGGCACACCAGCTGCTCCAATTCCCATCAGGGCCCGGATTTAGAGACAGCCCCTGGGCAGAGCAGGTAGGCTGTACTGACCACCAGGCACTGGTAGCCCAGCCTTTTCCCAGAGGCGTGGGCACACACAGTCCCCTCTGAGCCCCAAACCACCTGAGCAGCCTACCCACTCTGTAGCCTCATCTGAAAGCGTTTTCTGGGCCTCATTAGGAAGTTTTCGCAGGCACCCACTTGTCTCCGCAATGCTGCCCTGGGGATCCCCTCATCCCTCTTTCGGCAGTTGCGCCTCTCTGCCTCCCTCCCAATCATACTGCCAGGCACAAAACCCATATGGAAGGAAAAAAACAAAAGCCTTCATCTATCTACTCTTAATTGTCCCAAGCCCCTTGCCAGACCAATCCACAGTCTCAGCTAAAAACAGAAGTCAGCAGGTAGAGCTCAACCCACAGCCTCTGGCCTCAACCCCGAGGCTTGTGCTACACCAGGGCCGGACAGGCCACTCCTCCCCGACACACACATTGCAAGAAAGAAGGCCCGCTGGGGAAGGCTGACTTGGTCAGTTCCTCACCCCCATGGGGAGCCCCAGATTGTGGTTTGCCACCTCTTGAAGTCCTCTTCCTAGACAGCTTCTGCAGCCAACGAAAATTTTAAGTGCAAAATTCCCGCGTGGACCAGTTTGGGGAGAATGGACATCATTTTCTCTCTATCAGGGACTAAAAGTGCAGCAGGAAACCTGGCAGGAAAGGAGTGTGGGGGCTGCTCAGGCAGTTCAGCACCCCTGCACTCCACCTCCCTGCTCCAGGAAGCCCAGGTCCCCCAAACCCTGCCTTTGGGCTGGACAAGCACACCACCAGGACCCGACTCCCTAAAGCACTGCTTTTGTTTAGAAATCAATTCTTGGTCCCCAATTCGGGCCTCAGTGGGGCCAGGCCTGTCCCAGGACCGCAGCATCTATATCCCCCAGTCGGCCCAGGGCCTTGTCGTGCACCCCAATCAGCGGCCCAGCGCAGGTTTTTCCGGACAAAGGACGTCAACTAGGGGCTGCCGGAGGCTCCGGGTCACCCTACTAACGTCGGCCGGGCTAAAATGGTTCGTCCCTGCCGAAGACGCGCAGCCCGCGGAACCCTCGGAGCTGATGGGCCCGGCGGCAGCGCGGACACCGGCCGGGCTTGGCAGGGGGGGCTGCCGGGCTCTAGTGCCGGGCGGCGGCGGGGAAGGAGGACGAGAGACGCTTACTGTTGGTAGTCTTGTTTGCAGTACAGTTTCCGATCCCGGAAGTAGCAGCTGGTGGTGAGGGCTTGCTGACACGCCGCGCACTGCAAACACTCCTCGTGCCAGGACGACTCGTTGACTCGCATCAGGAAGCGGTCGGAGATGGGCCTCTGGCAGCCCTCGCAGACGGCGGGATGCGGGCAGTCGGAGCCTGCAGCGCACAGGGCGAGAGCCGGGCCGTCAGCGCCGAGCAGCCTGTCCCCGGCATTCCGGCCTCTCGGTGCCGGCAACCCCGGCTCCAAGGGCGAGGGCAGCCCGGGCGCGCCGCCCACCGCCTGCGCTCCCCCGGCTGCTGCGCCAAGGGCTGGGCAGCCTCATCTAGTTCGTCCCAGTCCGCAGACTCCGGCGCGGAGAGGCCACGGGCCTCGAGCCTTGGCTCGGCGCTGCGCTCTCCCCTTCTCCGGAGATCCAGCGCTTGGTGTTAATACGTAAGAGAACCAGCACCGCGCGGAGTAGCCGGCTGGGACCGAGACAGGCGAGGTGAGGCTGGGGCGCTCGCTGGCTGACACGCCCCACAGTGGCGTTCGTGGTCTTCTGTCCCCAATCTCCCCAAAACCTGTGGTTTGGGTGACTCGGGGGACATTTTTCTTTTAGAAAGTTCACCTCCCCAAGTGACCTGGCACTACTTCCAAGCTTGCAAAGGTGACTACTTGGGTCCTCCATCACCCCTGCCACCCACCTCCTCCCTCCCTCCCGGAGTGGCAGCTCTAGAACCGAGGCCTGATGAGTCTAGGGGGCGGCGGCCGGAGCTGTCCTGTCCATCCTCCTCCTAGGTGATGTCCCTGCATACCTCTGACCCCTCAGGATGCCCGTCTAGCTGGTCGCCCCTCTCGTGATCACTCCAGGAGTCTTCTCTCTGTGTTCCCCACACCCCCATGTCCTGAAAACCATTTCCTCATTTCCTTTATCCGTTGACCCGGACGCCTGTTTCCATCTCGGGACGAGGCCCCGGCCCCCTGCCCGTGACCACTCGGGCGTTCCGACCCAGCACTCACCCAGTAGCACCCCCAGAGTGGCGGGCCCGGGGCGCAGCGCGTGCTCCTCCATCTTGATGCCGTCCAACATCTTGGCGCAGTCCGTCTGCCCGCGGGGGAAGCACCGCTCCAGCGACTCGGGACCTGTTGCTATATCCATGGGACGCGGGGCGCGCTGCGGGCCCCGCCGGCCAGGGTGCTCACCTGCCCGCCCGCCTGCCCGCTCCCCGCCGCCGCCGTAGCCCCGGAGCCGGGGAGGCGCGGCCCCGGCGGGATTGGGGCTGCGGCTGGGGCCGCGGGCTTCCCCCGGCGAGCGTGCAGCGGCGACGCGCTGGCCCCGGGCC